GTGGCCTGCTGGGAAGGAATTGAAGAAGGGTGGAAATAATCAGGCTAGAGAGAAGATCTAAAGAAACTGCCAGTTAATTAAGCTCTTTTCATAGGATGGTAGGTTAGTTCAATGTTTCTTAACCTCAGCAACTTTAAGATGTGTGGACTGGTTGGGGAATTCTGGGAGTTGAAGTCCACACATCTTAAAACTGCTAAGGTTGAGAAGCAGTGGGTTAGATTAATGGTCATTTGACAGTCCCATGAAGTAACAAGGGCATCTATGGAGCATAAAGGAGGTATACCCATAAATAGTATCTGATATATAAATGACAGTGCCTCTCTCAGTGCCTCCTTCTATAGAAGCTTGATGTCTCAGAAAACTCATGCTTTTTACAACAACACAGCAAAATAATTTACAAACTTAACTAATTCTGGTTTAAGTTTAACAAAGCTACAAAAAGGCCCCCCCCCCCATCTCCTCCCTTTGGAGGAGGCTGAAGAGGTTGGACCCTCCTCTAAGAGTGGAGTGATTTATTTCTTCCATGCAATTCAGCAAGAGGTTGTGATGGGAAGGAAGTACAAACAGACAAGAGACAGAAAAGTGTCATTTCCGATATATTTTAGGAATGCTAATAAGCCCCTGTTGCCAGGCATTTAGATTGGCTGTTCCTTTGTAAGAAGATACTCCATACTACAAAAAAAGATGTTTCTCAGTTTGGATCCTAGCAACACAGGGAAATCCTCAGTTCTCCAGAGAGAAGGCTGGCAATGATAGGCAAGCTACTTGGGAGGATTGCTGGCTTGTCCTTATTGATCTATCCCCATGACACTCAGCTGCAAAGGAGACTTGGCACCCTGCAGGAACAACAGTAGATGGTAGAATATGGGCCATAATCCTCTGCCACAGACAGAAATCACATGCCTCAGCTGTCATAAAGTGGTGGAAAGGGCTACCTGTATAAACAAAGTCTGAACTTTCAGGATATGTGGAGTAGAGAATGACATGTTTAGCCCTGGTATCTGTGTTAAAAGAGGCCTATAGCTTTCACACACACACACAAAAACCTGTGTGAAAAAATAAAACTGAATTCTGAGAAAAGATTTTACACGTGCAAGCAGGTTGTAAGCACTCAGGTTATCAAGAAATAGCTTCCATTATGGGGGAATTATTAATAGTTTACGTTTCTGGAAATTTCTTTTGTCATGTCTGGGCAACAAAGCCAGCTATTGTTGAACGTGCACCTCCAGATCAACTCTTGGCACCTTTGTTTCTACTGACCGCTAGGAACGTTAAAAATAGAGGTAGCAAGCAAGGGACTCCTCTTAGTCCCTCTCTTTGCCTCTGCCTTTCTTTTCTCTAACTGGAAGACTGATGCTCTTCAGACTCTGCCTCAGCCTATTTTCCACAGGGAAATATAGAATATTCCCCTCCTTCTATTTCCCCCACCGTGATGAGATGCAGACTTCCTATCAGAAAATGTAACTTCCTGAACACACTTTCCTTATCCTTTTGCACTTGAAGCATCTGTCTCCAGATTTTCTTCATGGGCTTGCTCCTCTGCCCTGCAAGCTCAAGAAAAGGCACAACTTCTTTAAAGGCAGGTGTGGCAGCTATATCCACACCCACTCAAAAGCACCTTTTCAATTTCAGTTCCCAAGTGCAGGGCACCTCTAATGTTAGAAACAGGATATCAGTTCCTGCTCAGCCACACAGACAGCCTCAATCTCTCTTACCCACACACAGTTAGCCACAAAGTGTGACATCCTCCCTTCCTCCTTAAAGGGCAAGAGAAACCCTCCAGGGCAGCCCTTGGTCTCTCTGTTCCAGCTACTCAAGCAAGAGATCTTTTCCACATACCAAAGCTACCTGCACTTAGAGGAATTCAAGAAGAGGAGGAGGAGTGCCTACCTTGAAGACACTGGGGACATTCAGTTTTGGTGATGGAATTCCAATGAAGTAGTCAATTAAGACCATGATAACAATGGTTATAAAAATAGCAAAATTGCCTATCATAGAGCGTATCTAAACAGGAAAAAACAAAAGTTTCAACAGGGTTATGGTTAGGATACATAGGACTTGATCTATGTGCCTAAATAATCAGTTCCATATAAACCAGTTGTTGGGTACAGATAGTCCTCAACTTACAAACACAACTGGCACCAGAACTTCAAGTCATTAAGTGAGTCACACCTGATTTTATGACTGTTTTTGCCACAGTCATTAAGTAAATCATGCGGTCATTAAGCAAATCTGGCTTCCCCACTGACTTTGCTTGTCAGAAGTCCCCTGGGAAGGTTGCAAATGGTGATCACATGACCCCAGGATGCTGCAACCATCATAAATACATGCTAGTTGCCAAGCACCCGAATTTTGATCATGTGACTGCAGGGACACTGCGACAGTTGTAAGTGTGAGGACCAGTCATAAGTCACTTTTTTCAGTGCTGTCATAACTTCGAACAGCTGTTAAACAAGTGGTCATAAGTCAAGGACTTAACTTCGAACAGCTGTTAAACAAGTGGTCATAAGTCAAGGACTTAACTTCGAACAGCTGTTAAACAAGTGGTCATAAGTCAAGGACTTAACTTCGAACAGCTGTTAAACAAGTGGTCATAAGTCAAGGACTACCTGTATATGATATTCATATTGCCAACCAGAATGCCTGCTGGATGTTAAACAGATACTTTGCCCACCTGATCGGAAAGTAATTACTCCCCAAATTTCAAAATAAATCTCATGAAATTTCAGTGCTCATGCAAGGTTATAAAAGGGACACTGCGACAGTTTTAAGTGTGAGGACCAGTCATAAGTCACTTTTTTCAGTGCTGTCATAACTTCGAACAGCTGTTAAACAAGTGGTCATAAGTCAAGGACTACCTGTATATGATATTCATATTGCCAACCAGAATGCCTGCTGGATGTTAAACAGATACTTTGCCCACCTGATCGGAAAGTAATTACTCCCCAAATTTCAAAATAAATCTCATGAAATTTCAGTGCTCATGCAAGGTTATAAAAGGGACACTGCGACAGTTTTAAGTGTGAGGACCAGTCATAAGTCACTTTTTTCAGTGCTGTCATAACTTCGAACAGCTGTTAAACAAGTGGTCATAAGTCAAGGACTACCTGTATATGATATTCATATTGCCAACCATATGGCTTTGAACTCCTTGTACAAGATCTTGTATGATTTATCTTAGGAGCTATTATGAAAAATTTGGAATGCAGACAAAGTCAGGGCGGCTTCATTTAAGGAACATTATTTGTAAACATTCTGTCTTCTGTTTTCACTGCTGAAAGGAGCCAAATCTCAGACAAATCTAGCCGTGCATCATCTGGTCTTCTCTCCCAACCTTCTCCCACCCTCTGCTCCAGGCAAGATCTAGTGGGGATCATCTAGCTGATGAGCAATCGCAGGCCTCCAATATTTCCGATCTGCTGGGCACATACAGAGTTTGAGGTGGTGTTATGATGGTCTGGTTCACACATTAGATTAAGGCATAGTACAGTTAGTTTTAGGTTTTGGCTTTGGTCAGGGTGGGAGGAAAATATGGCAGCATCAGAGAAGTGTGGCTGTAATTTTCCTGTTTTCAGTGATATCATCGTTGCTTTTATACTGTATTTTTATTGTTTTACTGGTTGTGATCAAACAACCAGTATTTATTTATTTATTTATTTAAAACATTTATATGGCTGCCCAGAGTTGTTTTTAAAATGGGTGGCTATATAAATGTTTTAAATAAATACATACATAAATCTGGTCAATCCCTCCTTAGCCCAACCTTTTGCTTCCTACAGTGGCCAACCAGGTGCCTCTGGAGTACTTGAAATGAGAAGGCACCCTTCTCCCACCATTGTTCCCCTGAAATTGGTGTACAGAGATATCCCATTCCCAACTCAGTGATAACACTGGTCCTCAAGACCACACTGTGCAGGTAAGACAAAGAGAAGCAGAAATTCAAAGAGAACTAGACTTCCACCTGAATGCAGACTGGCTCCAGTGCCTAGAGATGAGGGGAGGGATTCCTTTTAATTCCCAAGAATGGTAATTATGCATATAAGGAAATCCATCCAGCTAGTCACCATTACGTAGAAAAGCAGAGACCATAAATTAGTCAGAATTTCGAAATCAGTGTTAAGCGGATGGCATCTACTTACTTTTGTGGGAAAATAGTTGCTGCCCCTAAACTTCTTTAGCGCACTCGACAAAAAATAGGTCGTAAAGAACAAGATGCAGCACCAGAAAAGAACATCAGGGGTAAGAGGCCCTTTGGCTCCACATGTAGGTCCTATGAATTCTCCACGCATCTCCCAACATTGCTGATTAGACAAAAGAATTTTAAAAAAAGAAACAGTAGCAAAAGGTATAGTGACTTAGCAAAGATATGGGGCTACCATCTGAATAAGCTAAGGGTCATTAATTCTAAAATGAAGGAAACATCATGCAAGAACTGAAATTAGATCTCAATTCCAGTTAAATGTAGTGTTCTGTTCCCAAGCAACAAGAACCTGTGGATCCTTAGATACAATTGTACAAATTTAATAATGCTTTGGAGAAAATATTAAGTTCACAATCCAGAACATTGTCAATACATGCATAAAAGAAGTATTTAAAGTTCAGTATCAGAGTAAGCAGGGCAGGGGAGAGATGGAGATTAAAATGAAATGTAATATAGAGCACTGATATATTCACATCCTGTACATTAAAACCAAAAAAGGAATAGATAAGTTTGGAAGTGCCCTTCACAAAAATAAACCTCTGTCCCACTTAAAGGTAGGTGTAGAAGTATTGCATTTGACTGATTTACTAGTCCCAGTAAGGTCAAAGTGTGAAACAAATATAAGAGTGGAGCAGCTTATGTAGTTCAACAAATATTATGCAGTAATATTTATTGAAAGCTTCAAATATCACCAATAAAATCATTTTATAAGCAATTGCTTAATTATTGTTTGGATAATCAGCGCATAGCATTTGACAAACATATGCAAAACAGAGCACATACATGCCCTGCCAACTTAAGAACAGCTGTTTTCAGATTTAATTAAAAACCTAGTTTTGTCAAAATTAACCAATAATTGCTCCCCTTAAAAGGAAAATTATTACTTTTCAAATGTCTACAATTTATTTCTTTGACCCAAGACCAATAAAATATTAATGGCTTAGATCTTCAGCTATCAACATAAGCAGGAACAAAAGGAGAAACTTGCTGGATTGGGCCAAGGATCTGTTTTCTGGCTACTTTTTGGTTTCCTTTAGCAAATGTGGCAAGTAGCTCATGATTCCATGAATGTATTTATTCTCTGTAAAGTCAGCCATGCTGGTAGTCCATACCCTACATGCCTATTCTTAGTTATTTGCAATAACAGGACCCATCACAGAAACCTCGGTCTACTGGACGCCCTCATAACTCTTCACCATCCCATTTCTGAAATCCAGCCAGGCTCACAATCTAACCTGTGAGAGCAAAAGCTCTATGCTTTTTAAGTAGACTACTGTACATAACATGCCAGCTTTCATTTTAAAAGAAACACAGTTAATCAAGAAAACTTTGATTTAATATTTAAAGAACTTAATCAAGAAAATTCTCCTGATACCAGTTCCTAATATACACTGATCTTCCCATCAAAAATTACTTTCCCTCCCTCCACCAGTGGTTTTGTGAAAAATAAAGGTATGTATATATGTATATATGTATATATGTATGTATGTATGTATGTATGTATGTATGTATGTAATTCTTTGTCCCATTTGGAAAGATGAATGTTCCATTCTACTCAATGGATAATGCTACCACAGAAATCATTTTGCCAACCATGCATAGAGTGCCAGGCTCATATACTTACAGAGACTGTGAGATTAGCCCAGGCAACTTTTGAAGGATCGATCTTCTTGCTGTTCCAGTACTTCAGAGTATCAATACTGGGCTTTGCAGGAGCTGCGCATCTGCAGCTAGTGGGCACAGGAAAGGATTAACAAGCATCACAAATACAGACACATTTAATTCTGAAAGCCCAAGTCTCTGGTCCAACAGCTTTTTAAAGTTTGTATACGGTTTATTTGTTTGATGTGATTTATTTCTCACCATTATTTTGTACAGGCAACACAGTAATGCTTCCTCCTCCTATTTTCCCCATAACAACCACTTGGGTGAGAGGGGTTGGGCCGAGAGAAAGTGACTGACCCAAAGTCACCCAGCCGGCTTCCATCCAGCAGAACTAGGACTTAAGTTTCCCCACTCCTAGTCTAACACTTTTAACCCTTCAACCAAACTGGCTCTCAATGTTTGCCTAAACTGAAACAAAGGTAGTATGGAGCCAAATCTGTCTTCAATCAGTTTTTAATCTTTTTTGCATGAGTTTACCAATCTCATGACAAATTACCACTGGGCTCAACTGAAGATGGATGAAATAGCAAATAAATCTCTTGGCCGCATAAACTTGAGAAGTTGTTGGCCTTTGGATGACTTCATTTCAGAGTTCAAAACACTTCCAAAATGATGTCGACAACCTGTGTCAATGTAAAACAGCTGTTTTGTAACAACTGTTCAGGCTCAAAAGGAGGAGGGGGGACTACATTGGAGGCAGTTGAATTCAAAATGTTTTGCACACATTTACTAACAACACTGCAGACTTTTAAAAAGTATTTCAATCTTTATTAGTGAAAAATAAAAATAATCAGCAATTATATGAAAGCACAATTTTGTTTTAATAATATATTATGGGAATTATCTGAAGAGTCTCAGCTATCTCTTTGATCAAATCAGCTCTGTTCAAATTTAACTTCATTTCCTCTATAATTCATCCCTTAATATCAAAGAAAATACTGAGCCTCTTCTAATGCATCAAGAAAGTAGGCTCTATCCATGGGAGAAGCCCATTCTGAGCTTGCACAGAACTATAGAATGGATTAAGCTGTACAGACAATAAAGCCATCAACGCTAGCTACATGTGCTATGCTGCTGCTCCCCTCAGCGTTTTCTCAAAAAAGAGCTCCACTTATCTTTGTTCAAACACAAAGAACATTCTTGCTGTAATCTAGGACACAGAAGAAACAAGGTCTTAGTCAAGCAAATGCAAAGAAAGCTCTCACCAGGCATCCTCACTCCACAGGAGGACAGGGAGGACCAGCAGTGAGTCAAGAAGGTATCACATAGGTCCAGCCTGTGCAGCCCTCTCTTTTACCAGGGAAGAGCTTTGGGGGTTCAAAAAGGGGGTTCAGCCTAGGACTATAGATTGTCCATTCATACTAAGTACTATCTCAGGCCTTCACGCAAGGACCTAACTAGGGCTTCGATATCTGCTCCAATGAACCTACTACACACCAGCTGTTATTTAACGGGTGATCACTGCTTCTTTGTTTCCTATTTCTGCACAATAAGGAATCTCACACCAATTGGTGAATTTAAATATATGGAAACAAATCAATTAAATCAAAATAGAAAAAAAATTACACAGACTCACTAATACAAGGTCAGATGGTCCAGATTGTTATGCATGTAAAATGGGTAAGTCCTTCCCAGCTTAAACAGCTTCTCTATGGACTCGAAAATGAAAATGAGGCAGATCAAAGAGGCAAAAGCTTCTTCCGTAAACCGAGTGATGTAGCAGACCAGAGAGCTAGCATCAGTGGCCACAAGCACGAGGCACATGAATGTTGTCCACAGGCCAATGCAGGTTCGTAGAGCAAGATAAGAAAGCTTATAGTCTCTGCAAAGATGTGCCAAAGACAGGAAATTAGGAGCACTGCATGCTGAAATAGTTCTGATCATAGAATTACAAAACTGTTGAAATACAGAAATTGTTTAGCTTCACTGGTTGTCCATTAATTGATCAGGATCTTTTCTTCACTCCTACCCCATCCTGCAGAAACTAGCAATATACAGCATAGGCCAGCAGGAAACATTGTAGAATGGACTGGAATATCTTGGATTTTGAGCAACGTGTGCATGTGGAAACAAGACCTTATAACCTAGATGGTTCCTTCCCTTTGACAACTATAGATGTAACAAGGCTGTTGTAAAATGAACCATCTTGTTCTTGGCCTTAAATTCAGGTGGCTGTTGTTATGTGATAGCTGCATTTTTGCAAGAAGAACGCATTGACTGAGTCCATGCCCATTCTTGCTACTCCTCCTCTTCCTTGCCAATATTAGTACAGATCATTCCAGCTGACGTTATCAAAGGAAGCATCACAGCAGAACCACCACTGAACTTTTCCATAATGGAAGAACAGTTCTCCAATTTTAAGAGTCAGGGATGCTCTTTTTACATGGTGTTCGGTGGTACATAGAATCACAACAGAACTTTCTGGCTCTACAGAAATCCATAGAAAGAACAAATCTTATGAGAAAGAGAACTGGATCCACTGAAACAAATGCATCTTTTCTTTCAAGATGCCACCAGGCAAGGAGCTCTCCCTTATTTAGTTCCTTGGTTGTTGGCAGCTGTTTTACTAAAGGGGGGTGGGGGTGGCTGATGGGCTGAGTAAGTGACAGAGTTTTAGGGGCTGGCTCATGTCAGGAGGGATCACGCCACTGATGAATGAATGATGTGGAAGAGACCCCAGAAGGAATGGAGGGGCGGAGAATGGGGTGAATCTGGAATGAGTACACCTGAGCCAAGTCTTTGATCTATTTCAGCAGGACTTCTCTTACGTTCTTATGTAATGCTTACCAGGTTCCACACACTTCCATGCCCACTAAACAAGTATGGGAGTGAAATGCATTGTGCTGTAGCTGATCAAATGTCAAATAGATAAAGCAACACTAGTATTTTTAGAAATAGAGGATTATACAACTACAGGTAGTCCTGACTTACTGACCACAATTAGAACCAGCAACTCCATTGCTAAGCAATGTGGTCATAAAATGAAAAGTCATGTGACCACACCCAACTTACAACATCAGCTCATCAGTTCTGACTGTGGTCGTTAAACTAATCACTGAGGGTCATTAAGTGTGACATCACGTGACCACCACTTGTGACCACCATTGACTTTGCTTATCATAAGCTGGTTGTGAAGGTCACAAATGGCCATCACGTGACCACAGGATGCTGCAACTGTCATAAACGCACACCAGTTGCCAAACACCTGAATCATGATCATGTGACTGCAGGGATGCAGTGACGGTCACTACTTCAAGGACCAATCGTAAGTCGCCTTGTTTGGCACTGAACAGTCACTGAACAAGTGGTGGGTAAGTGAGGACCACCTGTGGTGGCTGAAAACTATATACACTGGTACAGATTGGCTATTGATAAATGATTGCCATCTATAAGACCTGAAAGATTCTAAAATTTCTACCTCAGAATTATCACAAAGCTAGAAAACCTTCATAAGTTTCAAATTCAAAATTGGATAAATTATAAAGAAGCATTTCAACCCCTCTCTTCATTCAGCTTAACTATTTCTCACAAGCCATGCAACCTTCTGGTTAAATCCATAATGATTTAAGTATGCATTGGGGATCAAGAATATGAGTGGAACTGAATTGAAGAAATAATGATGGGAACTCCCAGGCAACATGGCACCTTTTCAAAGTCTGTAATATTTCTGGCCACACCCATGTTTTAGATAGGAATCTACCAACATCCCAGATTAGATTACCTCTGTCTACTATTCTGGATGTGGAGTTGTTGTTATCCATCAGAGCCAGGGTTTGAATCTGAAGGGAGGAGAGAAATAACTGCTCACAATCAGCACCTGGGTTGGGAATACTAATCATAACCATTCCTAGGAAGTGGAAGGGGGTGGGACACTACCTCTCTCCAGATACAATGTAGTACGTCTTACCATGTGCATCAAAACCATGACATGCCTTGCTAGCATCTCTGGCTGCCTAAGCATCCAGATCAGTCCCAGCCTACAATACTGCTGCCTAACTGTACTCATTTTTTTTTTTAAAAGAGGGTGGAGAGGTCAACAGTAAGAAATTGGTTAGTTTATTTATCTCTATTTGATCCATCATCATCTCTATTTGGTCCATCATCATCATCATCATCATCATCATCATCATCATCATCATCATCATCCCTTGTGAAAGTACACAGCCTTACTTGCAGAACTGGAACAAAATTTTCTCGAAAACCAATACTGGTCCGGTACTTCCCAAGATGGTGAGAGGCTGGCCAGCAAAGAGAGAGTAGACCACTCCAGTAATAGAGGCTCCAAGCAACGATTCTATAGCACTCTGCAGGTTTAAGCACAGACAGAAGAGAAGAGCTGCCGTACTGGGTCAGACTGACAGTACGTGCAGCCCCTCATTCTTCTGGATTCAGAGATCAGAAAACAGCCTGCTCAGTTAAGCTGCTTTAATTTCCTCTCTCTCTGAGTTACCACTAAAGACAGGTCAAGGCAGCAAGCATTGGTTCTTCCAGTTAGCAGGAGTTGAACTTTACTTAGGGACACCTAATAAGATAACTTTCTCCATCCATCACACATTTATTTTAATCCAGGAGAGAGATTTGTGGTGCTGTGGGAAAAGCAGCACTTTTGCCACATGTCACACACCCACACTGAGAAAAATGGCAATGTGGGCAATTTCAGCTTCTTATCTTCTGAAATGGAAGGTGCTTCTCAAATTACCTCTTGTTGCAGATCAACATCCCAAACAGCTACCCTTCTTTAATCTAGGTTCACGAACATTAATTCCCCTAAAACTGCAATCCACCCATAAACGTTGTACAGCTAAATAAACGAATGAATGAGTAACACTGTCCAGTAACTAACTGTGAATATTAAAGCATGGTTGAAATATACCCAAGTAACTACAGCAATCCAAAATAATACACGGAGCAGCAGGGGTGAAGTCAAATGTCCACTGCTTTGTAACACTGGTTTTGCTGTCACCTACCTGGAAAATAATTCATAACCCATAAAACAAGTGGGGGGGGGAAATGTTCTTACTATTTGTCCCTCTGTTGCTTCTCCAAGCAACCCCCCAAAGGTGATCACAGGAGACATCGAGGCACAATACAGGAAGAGAAAGGAAGCTAAACACTGCAAACTCAAAGCATCTCTGTAGTCGCTCCAGTACCAAGGAGCTTTCCGTTTTATATCCAAGATCAAGCCACCAAAGAGCCTGCAAAGCAAAGACAGGGAATTTCTAAGATATGGCGGATTCACAGTAGTGAGTTAAATACAATAACAACATGGCTGGAAACAAACCATTTCCCAGCACATAATATTAAAAGCAGAGTGGCAGTACAGTGCTACCTCTACTTACGAACTTAATCCGTTCCGTGACTCTGATCGCAAGTCGAGTCGGTCGCAAGTCGAAGG